CAGTTGCATAATGATCTCGTAAAGAAAATGCCTAGAACTAGTGCTGATATTGATGAATTTAAGGCCAGCAAAGGCTGGTTTGAGAGATTTAAGAATAGTAGTGGCATACACAATGTGATAAGGCATGGTGAGGCTGCCAGTTCTGACAAAAAAGCAGCTGAAAAGTATGTGCAGGAATTTAAGAGGTACATAGAGACTGAACAATTAAAACCCCAACAAGTGTTCAACTGTGACGAAACAGGCCTGTTTTGGAAGAAAATGCCAAACAGGACCTACATTACTCAGGAGGAAAAGGCACTCCCAGGACATAACCCTATGAAAGACAGGCTAACTCTCATGTTTTGTAGTAATGCTAGTGGGGATTGCAAAGTGAAGCCTTTACTCATGTATCACTCAAACTCCCAGTGTGTTCAAGAAAAACAGTGTCAAGACTAAATTGTGTGTGATGTGGAGAGCAAACAGTAAGGCCTGGGTCACGAGGGACATATTCTATGATTGGATCCGTGATGTGTTTGGCCCCACTGTGAAAAAATAACCCATGGAAAATAAATTGGAACTCAAGTGCCTCCTGGTATTAGACAATGCTCCTGTTCATCCTCCAGACTTGGAAGAACGAATGGTTCCGGAGTTCAGTTTCATAAAAGTCAAGTTTTTGCCGCCTAACACCACTCCTCTCCTCCAGATCATGGATCAGCAGGTCATTTCAAATTTCAAAAAACCAAACCATACCACGGGTGGGGTTTGAACTCATGGTCAGAGTCTCAAAACTCCAGACCGTTGCGTTAGCCACTGGGCCAGCTAGCTTCAATAAGATTCATCCAACTAGGTATATTTCTACACCATAGGAAGGTTAGCATAGGCACCACTGTGTCCACAAATGCAAGTTTTTACAGACAAATCTCCCGCTAGCATGGCAGTGACGAACTCTAGCTCAAGTCCCTCAAAGCCGTCAACATGACTCACGAAATCATAATGACATGATTGCAAAACAAACCATTTGTGGACACAGTGGTGCCTATGCTAACTTTCCTATGGTGTAGAAATATATACACCTACCATCCGACTTACGACCGAGTTCGGTTCCGAGAAACCGGTCGTAAGTCGAAATGGACGCAAGTCCAACTTTACTAATGAATATCAACATAACATTTTTGTAATGACTTTATTTTATTGCCTTATTTTGGTATTTCATGTTAACTTTACTTTTTATGTTGTTAGTACTGTATTTTATACTGTAAGGTTTAGGATAAACACTGTGTACAACACAAACACTTGTTTATTTCCCAGAAATTTGGCATAAAAAACACGGTTGTAAGTCGAGTCGTCATAAGTCAAGCAGGTCATAAGTCGGATGGTAGGTGTACCTAGTGGGATGAATCTTTTTGAAACTAGCTGGCCCAGTGGCTAACGCGACAGTCTGGAGTTTAGAGACTCTCTGACCACGGGTTCAAACCCCACCTGTGGTATGGTTTGTTTGCAATCGTGTCATTACGATTTCATGAGTTAAATTTCAAAAAAACTGTACACCAAAGCAGTGTTTCGAAAGTGCTTTTAAGTGACCTCAGACACTGAATTGACCCTAAGAGAGTTCTGGAAAGATCGCTTCAGTAGTCTCAGTTGCACAAACCTTATAGGTAAGGCTTGGGAGGGAGTGACTAAAGGACTTTGAACTCTGCTTGGAGAAAATTGTGGCCAGAATGTGTATAAGAGGGGTTTTGAGGGGTTTGGGCTGGACCATGAGGAGCCTATGCCAGTTGTGGTATCTACTGTGGCACTGGGGAAGTCCATGGGATTGGAGGTTAGTGGCAAGGATGTGGAAGAGTTGGTGGAGAACTACGATGAAGAGTTAACCACTACAGAGTGGCAAGAGCTTGAGGTGCAACATCAACAGACCACAACTCAGGAATTTTGAGGAGGAAGAGAGATGGAGGAAGTTGCCTTCTTCAATGATTAAGGACATTTGTGCAAAGTGGATTGAAGTGCAAACCTTTATGGATAAACATCACCCTGACACAGCTGTTGCAGGCATTGCTGGCAACATCTATAATGACAATGTTGTGTCCCATTTTAGGGAAATCTTAAAGAGACGACAGAAACAAAGATCTCTGGACAGATTTTTGATGCGACAGGGGTCCAGTGACTCAAATTGGTCCTAGTGCCATTAAAAAACAAAGAAGGGAATTAATCTCGGAAAAGGACTTGCTACCTTAAGTATTTATGGAAGGGGATTTCCCTCCCAAACAATAATACACCTCCAGCCTCTTCCCTCCTCCCGTCTCATCACTCATCAATAAGTCTTCAATAAAGGTAAGTGTCATTTTAGTATTGTTTATTCTACACGTCTCATTGTTTTCTGTGTAGGAAAATGTATATTTCATGTGAAAAATTATTTTGTTTAACCCTTTCAGGGTCCGTCCCATAGATCTACGGCTTTACGTTCAGGGTCCAAACCGTAGATCTACGCCATGAGCTCAGCTCACTCTGATAAACTGTGAGTGGTACATTTGGGCCTAGATATGAGAGAATACATCTATGTGGTATGTGTGCACCACATAAAACAGATCCTGCAGCACACTGTGTATAATGAGAGAAAAAAAATGAAATCATGATTTTTCGATTAAAACAGCAACTTTGCAGTGTTTTTTCCTATGTTTTCTATAGTTGTATTTGCGATTTCTTGGTCTCTTTTGATAGAATGGAAGACATATTACAGAAATAGAGATGATTTTGATTGGTTTTAGCACTGGAAATGGCTTGAAACTGAGCTCAAAGTAGCAGAAATGTTAAATTTTTGCCGATATTCAAGAGTAAACAAACGACCTCACACGTCTAATACACGCCAGCTGGTGGGTCTAATATACATTCACAAATATGGTGATGATATTTATACAATTATTACAGTATTGCATAACAGTAAATCTTCTATTTTTTGGTGTGAATAAAAATTCATTATGTGAATAAAAAATCAAAATGGAATTTATTTGTAAAGCCTCAAAACATAACTAATGAACAGAGGAAATGTTAGTTTAGTGCCAGGAATGCCTACATTGTTCATTCTGGACCCTATTTTGAAATTGGAATATTTTGAACTTTGTGTTAAATTGGCCAAATTAACAATTTCCGATCACTTTATTTTGTAGTTGAAACAGTTGACTTGGCGATTTCTTGTGCTCAATCGATAGAATAGAAGTAATACTAGTGAAATAGCTAAGAATTTGGTTGATTGGAATAATGTAATTGGCCTAAAATGGGAGTCAAAGTCGGCAAAATCGCCGATTCGTAAATATCGCTGACACATCAAAATTCGCGAGAGCATAATTTCGTCAATTTTCCACCAAATTTCGTACTTTTTGTTTTATTACCTTCACAAAAAGATTCTCTACGATTTCATAAGAAAAAATAACAAATTTTTTTTTTGAAAATTCTTGGACACTGGTGCGTGACTCCAGATTTGGGCCTTGGACCCTGAAAGGGTAAATACTTTTGGGTGTCTGGAACAAATTAATTGGATTTCCATTATTTCTTATGGGGAAAATTAATTTGGATTACGACAGATTCAGTTAGAGACACGCTTTCTGCAACGAATTAATGTCGTAATCTGGGGGTCCACTGTATGAAGGCATAATTTCCTTGTTAAAGTGTTGAACGATAATGAGTTATTTTTCTTTCTTTTGGGGTTTTTCTTTCTTCGTGGATTTTTTTTTTTCTTTTTAGGTCACCCCGCCACAGTGGGAAATGGCGAACATGTTATAAAAAACAAAAATCCTTGTCAGAAATATAGCAATGTATTATCATTATTATTAAAAACCTCAAATTAAATAAACTCAAGGCTATAATACAGACTATCAGGTGAGGCGGGGCCCTCCCAGCCTACTGCCATTTTCATTACTTAACCCATTCAGCATTTGTTTTTTGCTGTCAAGTCATATAAATGACTGAACATTCATGTAGCTCATTTTATATCCCTCCTGTCCTGCGGCTAATATTTAAGATAACTATTATAATGAAGCATACATTTGATTAAAGCATAAAGAAAAAAACATTATTACCATCCGATATTAATCAACACCGATAATATATATTTTTTTAACACATCGACTGTTTCCCACCGGGACAGGGTGACCCAAAACATTCATCATCGTTCAACACTTTCATCATCATTCACACAATCACTGTCTTTGCAGAGGAGCTCAGATACAACAGATGTCACTCCAAACCCTTCCTTGAATGTGCAGGCATTGTACTTCCCACCTCCAGGACTAAAGTCCAGCTAACCAGTTTCCCTGAATCCCTTCACAAAATATTACCCTGCTCACACTCCTACAGCTCGTCAGGTCCCAAGAGCCATTCGTCTCCATCCACTCCTATCTAACACACTCACGCACGCTTCCTGGAAGTCCAAGCCCCTCACCCACAAAACCTCCTTTACCCCATCCCTCCAACCTTTCCTAGGATGACCCCTACCTGGCCTTCCTTCCACTAGATTCATATGCTCTTCATATACACTACACATATTCCACCATGGAAATAATTTCCAGTTGTAGATAAGATTGAATCGCAACATTTTCACTGTGACACACTTAAAACTGTAACGAAATACAGAACAATCGAACCCCAAAATTTATGGGCTTTATAACTCTGGAACTTTATAATTCACAAGCCTCATAATTCACTCGATTCAATAACGCAATATTTTTACAGTAGATCATTTAGTAAATAGCTTCAATTATTAGAAAGTGTTTTTGCTGTGCCCATTGTTTAATTCAGTGCACAATCCATAAACTGAAAAATAATCAAAGCATTTCATTCACAATGTACTCAATGACATTCATATGCTCAAATATCTACTCTCTAGACATTCTTTTTCAAGTTAATATTAGCCAGGTTAGAGGTCTTATGAATGACAGACTCAAGAGACCTCAAGGAATGTAACTCACAAATTTAGGAGTTCAACTGTATTAAAAAAAAGCACTGCAGAATTGCCAAGATTTTATAATCACCTGCTGTGCAGCCCAGGCTCCTTGCCACCCGTGCACCTGGTACCCAAATAGTAGGCGGCAGCGGACAGTTTTGCCATGCTGTTAAAATTTACTACTAACAGTATTATATATGAACTTTTCTTGCTTATCTACATCACTCAGAAATAGGTGAATATTTGAGAATAACAATAATAAAGAGGTGATGTTTACAAGGATGCAAAAGAAAAAGAAAAATCAATGCTTTTCATGAATATAGTACAATACAGCATTCAAAGATTAGCACATTTACAATAAATGTAGATGGTAAATGTTTTTGAGTACTGCTATTAAAAATTATTAAATAATGCATTAATAGTTGTCTGAAGCTTAAACATGTTGCAAGAATCTGAGCTTTTGAAGTTATGCAAAACTATGCAATATTTGCAAATTTACATTTGACGTTGAAGTTTGTATGTAACCCTTTGAACATTCGTACACTTAAAAGTATGTTTAAAAACAAAATGCTTTTAAAATTATACATACAGAGTTGTGCAACAGTAGTAGCAGAGGTAACAAATTACTTTTCAAAGGGATTGAGTAACACTGCCTAATTTCATCATCCTCCATCACGCATCCCTCAAATTAAGTGAGAGATGTATTCTAGTCGATGGCTAAGGATATATACTGTACACTGCTCATTAAAATATTCCTGATGTTAGTGTACAGGCAAATTACAAGAATAATGGCCTCTGTGAAGCCAGTAAGATTATTTAAAAAAAAAAACACTAAATTAGTGGAGGGATTCATTCAATGATGACTATTCAGAGTTAACAGTCCTAGAAACCCCTTCTCCTGTATATATTACTAAATTTCAAAGGAGAAACTTTCGTTTTTCCTTTTGGGCCACCCCTCCTCGGTGGGATACAGCTGGCACATTGAAAGAAAAAGAAGAACAGCCCTAGAATCTAATGTACAGCAGACCTTCGGATAACAAGCCACCTGTTAACACGTTTTTGTGCTATAACATTTTTGGCCTAGTACTCAGGTCTTGTGGTTAGACCACTAGGCTGCTAGTTTTATCACTAACTCAAAACATACTAGAATCCTGTCCTTTCCCAGAGTTGTTTACAATCCCATTATTACGATTTTCATAAGAACATAAGAAAGAAGGAACACTGCAACAGGCCTACTGACCCATGCGGAGCAGGTCCTTGTCCCTTCCCCCCCGGATCAGCCCAATGACCCACCCAGTATGGTCACCTCCACTCAAGGAAGGAGCACGGCACCAGACCCAGCAGCACAAGCTAGTCAGGTCTAACTCACACCCACCCACACCCACTTATGTATTTATCTAACCTATTTTTAAAACTACACAACGTTTTGATTCCTTTATCGTACACAATTCAGACTATATATTTTCCTGAAATCTCTACCCTGTAATATGTTATTCAATTTAATTTCCTTGAAATACAGTCTTGGACTAGCAAACTATTCTTTTTTGGCAATTAACCCTTTCAATGTTGGGACCCACAAAAATAAATGCAATTACACTGCTGGGATTTAAAAAAGAAATTTATTCTTAAATGGTAGAGAATTTTTTTTGAAGGTAATGGCACCAAAAAAAGAAAACATGAAATTTGATGGAAAACTTACAGAATTACACAGGCAGATAACTGACAGTCTGGGTACAAGTTATGCATCGGCGATTTTACCCAATTCCAATGCTCAATTCGACCAAATTCTTAGCTATTTTGCTAGTATGCCTTCCATTCTATTGACTTGAGTACAAGAAACTTCCCATTCAACTATAAAGTGCACAGAAGTCAGTAATTTGGTCAATTTCACACAATTCAACAAATTCCGACTTAAAAACAGAATCCAAAATAAACGCTGAATGCATTCCAGCATCTAAAGCAACCTATCCTCTATTCATTAATCACATTCTTAGATCTCTTCTATATTGCACTGCCTTCCATTCTGAATCTATCACACAAAAAATACTGAAGTTTTACCGTTTCTCATATAATAAAATACGTATAACTAGGAATGGTTGGCCATGGTTTAGGGTGTCCCAATAAGTGTAGCAGATCTAGTAAAAATCCATAAAACAGACCTGAAGTGTTGGGGAGGCCTTACCCTTCCTTAGAGAAACTGTCAAAAATATAATATTTCCACTAATCTGAGCCCTATTTCAAGCTAATTGTAGGCCTGAAATACCAAAATCACCCCTATTTCAGCAGTCTGTCTTCCATTCTATCAACTAATACACCAAGAATAACCAATAAAACTACAGAAACCATCCTAATAAACACCTCAAATTTGATATTTTAAACCAAACTGTGTGGGGGCAAGATTTTTTTAATACTGTGCACACTCGCCACACCATCCCATTCCCATCTCCAGGCCAAAGTTTACCATTCGCAGCGTATTTGTGGGCACTGTGTTTAAAACGCAATTCTATACAAGTGATGCTGGTGTCGATGTAGATCTACGTATGAGACAGTGAAAGGGTTAAGGTGATAACATTTATATTTCATTTTTTCCTTCTTGATGACAGACCTTGCAAATATATCTCCAATGAACATGCACTTTGCCACACAAATTCAGATAATTTATATTATGTATTAGTTCTTATTTGGTAAATACAGCCTCTCCTCACTTAGTGACATACTACTCGTTTGCTGATGCCTCAGACTTAGGACAGGCTCTCTGAGAAGTATTTTTACCTAAATAATGTATATTAAGAACTGATTCCTCTATTTCAATATACAGTACACTAATGTATAAACATTTAAAAACACACCAGAAATGTTGTAAATGGTGCAAAGGTGACATTAACACAGTATCAAAGATGATCGACACAAACCCACTACCATTACAGTATGCACCTCGCTTAGCAATGAATTCGTTTAAAGATGTGGTTTTGGAACTGGAACTCCGTCGTTAATTGAAGAGAGGCTGTACTACAATCTAGCATTATGCTGAGCCAACTTTTTTTCTTTTTATAATACAGTGGCCATCTCTCACTGAGGTAAGGTGTACTCCAACAGCAAGTCAAGTCATAAAAACCACTTTCCTCTGCTCAATCTTACGCAACGCATTCACACAAGTCCCTCGCATACAAAACCTTTACTCCCTCCCTCCAACCTTTGCCTGGATAATCCCTACACCTCCTTCATAGGATGAAGAGTTCCAATCAACAATAAATGCAGAATATAGGCTAGGGTTTTTTATGGCAATTAGTGGTGAATACAGTAAACCTTCCATATACCAGGCTAATGGGGCAGGTGGGTGCCTGATAATGGCAATTGTGGTGGATAGAAGAGATTGCTTTGAAATGATTATAACAATAATGCACAATTTTGTAACCAACGGACTTTGTCCACTGTTTCCAAATCAAATCACCCAGTAGAATTTATACTGTATTTCTGAAATGCATTATATGAAGGGTTTAATTCGACAGGTTTTCTCTTAGTAAGGAGTCAAGTCCATAAAATTGTGACCAGTAAGGACAATGAGACATGAAGACTTTAAATGTGCATGAGGATGATGTAAATGAACTGTTAAAATAGGACAACTAAGACCAAAGAAGAAATGCTGGAAGAGCAATAGTTACAAAAGTAATTACATGTTAATAGTTAAGTTACAGACTCAATGAAGAGGACCCTGACACAATTAAAAGCATTGATCTGATGAGAATTTTGGAGCAAGCAATGATTCCCTATGGTCAGCTGTATAAAATACTGAAGCACTCCAAAACAACCATCAGCTACATCCAATCAACACAAGAACCACAGCCAACCACCTCAACTTAGTAGGCCCACATCAACCCTCTCTACACATGCCAACAAGCAAAAACAAATAGAATATAGGCTAGGGTTTTTTATGGCAATTATTCTATAAATTAAATACAAAAAAAAAAAAATGTTCGGTAAACTAGGAGGTGTCCAGATTGTTACTATGTATTTTTCCCACAATCATCACTTCATATAATGCTATTTTTAGGCAGGCACCTACTATAAAGAATATAATCTGTGCATTAATAGAGGGTATGCTAGATTTCATGAGTTGTGATGTCCCCACTTTTTCTTTGCTCTTTCCCCGAGACAAGGAATAGTTCCCACATTTCTTCTTCGCAGTTCATTCTTATAAGCTCAGGTACCAATCTTGATGTTCTTCTTTGCACTCCCATGTTAAGTTTATGGCTTTACTAGGTGTGGTTTATGTACTAGCAATGTATATTCAAGAATGAGTCATACCTATGTAGTAGTACAAAGTGTTCCTAATAAGTCTATGTGTAGTTAATTTAGTGTAGTTTCACTTATTTGTTGTTGCAACATTGAGAGAATTCTATAAAACAAAAAACTGATTTCCAAAGCTAATCAATAGGGGCTACATTGCCCATTTTCAAAATTAATTTTGATTTAGGAGCATACGTGAAATGTTTCTGATAATGTGAAGAGGCATTCTCGTGATAATGTCCAGAAATCTACTAAATGAATACGAAAAATGTTACCCCTACTGGGGATACCTAATAATAACAATAATATCAAACAGAGAGAGAGGAATTATAATAAACCTATTTGACTCTTAAGTATAACATCTTCATTTAAAGCAAAAAATACTTCACTTTAATATTTGCCAAATTAATATTTTTAGAAACAAAACATAGGCAAATCCTCCTCTTACCTGGGTTTTTTCTGGGGCTCCAAAGTCATGGTCTTGATCTGGAACATTCCACATTCAGAAAGACAGGTGCCATCAACCCAATATTGAGCTTTAGAAGTAACCTGTAACATGTTAAAACTTTGGCTAAATATCTTAACCCTTACTGCAAATATATATTAAAAAGCACTATGCATGTATTATTTCTCAGTACAAACAGAGATTGTAAAAATTATAGGGGAATAAGTTTACTGAGTATACCAGGTACAGTGTATATAGGGTGACTATTGAAAGAATTAGAGGTAAGACACAGAGCAGGATTGCAGATGAACAAGTAGGCTTTAGAATAGGTACAGGATGTGTAGATCAAGTGTTTACTTTGAAGCATATATGTGAACAGTATTTGGTAATCCCGCACCTCCTCCTAACTTCCAAACTACGAATTCTCTGCATTATATTCACACCACACATTGCCCTCAGACATGACATTTCCACTGCCTCCAGCCTTCTGCTGCAGCAAGGAGAAGGCTGGAGGCAGTGGAGATGTCATGTCTGAGGGCAATGTGTGGTGTGAATATAATGCAGAGAATTCGTAGTTTGGAAGTTAGGAGGAGGTGCGGGATTACCAAAACTGTTGTCCAGAGGGCTGAGGAAGGGTTGTTCAGGTGGTTTGGACATGTAGAGAGAATGGAGCGAAACAGAATGACTTTAAGAGTGTATCAGTCTGTAGTGGAAGGAAGGCGGGGTAGGGGTCGGCCTAGGAAAGGTTGGAGGTAGGGGGTAAAGGAGGTTTTGTGTGCGAGGGGCTTGGACTTCCAGCAGGCGTGCGTGAGCGTGTTTGATAGGAGTGAATGGAGACGAATGGTTTTTAATACTTGACGTGCTGTTGGAGTGTGAGCAAAGTAACATTTATGAAGGGGTTCAGGGAAACCGGCAGGCCGGACTTGAGTCCTGGAGATGGGAAGTACAGTGCCTGCACTCTGAAGGAGGGGTGTTAATGTTGCAGTTTAAAAACTGTAGTGAAAAGCACCCTTCTGGCAAGACAGTGATGGAGTGAATGATGGTGAAAGTTTTTCTTTTTCGGGCCACCCTGCCTTGGTGGGAATCGGCCAGTGTGATAATAAAAAATAAAAAAAAAATATTTAGATAAAGGTAGGGAAGTTCTCATTGCATTTATGGATTTAGAAAAGGCATATGACAGGGTGGACATGGGAGCAATGTGGAAGATATTGCAAGTGTATGGAATAGGTAGTAAGTTACTAAATGCTGTAAAGAGTTTTTATGAGGATAGTGAAGCTCAGGTCAGGGTGTGTAAAAGAGAGGGAGATTACTTCCCAGTAAAAGTAGGTCTTAGACAGGGATGTGTAATGTCACTATGGTTGTTTAACATATTTATAGATGGGGTTGTAAAAGAAGTAAATGCTAGGGTGTTGGGGAGAGGGGTGGGATTAAATTATGAGGAATCAAATGCAAAATGGGAGTTAATACAATTACTTTTTGCTGATGATACTGTGCTTTTGGGTGATTCTAAAGAAAAGTTGCAAAAGTTAGTGAACAAGTTTGGGAGGGTGTGTAAAGGTAGAGAGTCGAAAGTGAACATAGATAAGACTAAGGTGATGAGGGATATTACATTGGAGGATATCACATTGGAGGAGTATGGAAGAAGTGAATGTTTTCAGATATTTGGGAGATGATTTGTCAGTGAATGGGTTTATGAAGAATGATGATAACTATACAATTGATGAAGAAAAAAAGGCGAGTGGTGTGAAGACAAAAAAAGCATTACCCATGGAGGCAAAGAAGGGAATCTATGAGAGTATAGTGGTACCAACACTCTTACAAGGGTGTGAAGCATGGGTTGTAAAAGCTGCAGTGAGGCGGCAGCTGGAGACAGAGGAGATGTTGAGCCTAAGAGCAATGTGTGGTGTAAATATTATGCAGAGAATTCATAGTGTGGAAATTAGGAGGAGGTGTGGAATTACAAAAATTATTAGTCAGAATGCTGAAGAGGGACTGTTGAGGTGGTTTGGTTATTTAGAGAGAATGGAACAAAGAATGACTTGGAGAGCATATAAATCTGCAGGGGAAGGAAGGCGCAAGACTGGTCATCCTCAAAAAGGCTGGAGGGAGGGGGGTTAAGGAGGTTTTGTGGGTGAGGGGCTTGGACTTCCAGTAAGCGTGCGTAAGCATGTTAGGAATGAATGGAGACAAATGGTTTTTGGGACCTGACGAGCTGTTGGAGTCTGAGCAGGGTAATATTTTGTGAAGGGATTCAGGAAAACAACTTAGCCGGACTTGAGTCTTGGAAATGGGAAGTACAATGCCTGCACTTTAAAGGAAGGGTTTGGGATACTGGGAGTTTGGATGGATGTCTAAGCTGTCATATGTAAGCGCCTCTGCAAAAGACAGTGATTACGTATGAGTGATGGTGAAAGGGTTGAATGATGAAAGTTTTTTTCTTTCTTTTTGGGTCACCCTGCCTCGGCAAGAAATAGCCAACGTGTTAAAAAAAACAAGGAAACTGGTTAGCCGGACTTGAGACCTGGAGGCGGAAAGTACAGTGGATGTAGTCTGGAGGAGGGGTAAGGTTATTGTGGTTTGGAGGGTTATCTGAACTATCATGTCAGTGTTCTTTTAGCAAGACAGCAATTGAATAAGTGATGGTGAAATTTTTTTTTTTTGGTCAAACAGCTGGTATTTAACCCTTAAATGGTCCAAACAGATCGACATTCAAATTCGTAGTGCTACAAAAATAGATCTACTTTTTTTTTACATATTTTCAAATATAACAAAAAAAATGTAGATAAAAGATTTTTTTAAACGTTTTCAAATTTAAAACAAAAAAGAAAATCTACATTTTTTTACATACTTTCAGATGTTGAAAAAACGTATATATACGTTTGGACCGTTTAAGGGTTAAAAAAAAAAAATTGAAAAGTGAACACATATTCTTTCCCTCTTCCACTGCACTGATTCCAAAGAAGAATTCTCCATATTTAAGCAGATATATGCACATTATCACTAGTATTAAGTTTTAACCATTTCGGTGTCGGTCCCATTATATCACAGCTTTGAACCCAGTGTCGGTCCCGTAGTATGACACATGTGCTCAGCTCACTCAAATCAGCTGAGTGGTAAATTTAGGCCTAGATATGAGAGAATTGGTCTGTGGTAAGTGTGCATTATATAAAAAAAAATCTGCAGCATGCAGTGAATAATAAGAAAAAAATTGCAATATTTTCGCTTTATAACACCCACTTTACGGTGTATTTTCATATGATTTTTATGGTTGTATTCTTGGTCTCATTTGATAGAATAGAAGATATATTACAAAAATAGAGATGATTTTGATTAGTTTCAGGAATGAAAGTATGTAGCTTGAAATTGAGCTCGAAGTAGAGGAAATGTTCGATTTTTGCCGCTATTCCAGAGTACACAATACGTGTCCAACTGGAAAGTTTAATATGCATTTAGGAATGCACTAACATTATTTATACAATTATTACAATAATGCAATAGTCTGCGTAACAGTAAATCCTCTATTTTTCTGTGTGAATAAAATTTCAAAATGAAAAGCAAGTGTAATACAAGAGGGGCCTGGAGACGTGACTAATGAATAGAGGAAATATTTATTTAGTGCCAGGAACATCTACACTGTTAATTCTGGACCCTATTTTCTAACTGGCAGTTGTTGAATTTTATATGAAATTAGCCAAATTACCAATTTCTGATCACTACATTGGATAACTGAAATATGTAAATGGTCGGTTTCTTGTACTCAGTCGATATAATAAAGAAATACTAGTGAAATAGCTATAAGTTTGGTGGACTGGAACAATGAAATTAGCCAAATATAGAGCTCAGAGTGAGCGAAATTGCTGATGTGTAAATATTGCCGAGACCTCTAACTTTGCGAGGGGGTAATTCGATAAGTTGTTCATTAAATTTCATACTTTTGGTTGCATTACCTTTGGAAAAGGAGTATCATTTCATAATTTTTTTTTTTTTTTTTAAATTCTTCAACCCTGACAGCAAATTTGCGAGCAGGGGTCGCAACACTGAAAGGGTTAATCATCACAATTATACACATTTTTTTTTTTCAACAAACCGCCCTATCCCACCAAGGCAGGGTGGCCCAAAAAGAAAAACGAAAGTTTCTTTTTAAATTTAGTAATATATACAGGAGAAGGGGTTACTAGCCCCTTGCTCCCGGCATTTTAGTTGCCTCTTACAACACGCATGGCTTACAGAGGAAGAATTCTATTCCACTTCCCCATGGAGGTAAGAGGAAATAAACAAGAACATGAACTAGAAAGAAAATGGAAGAAAACCCAGAGGGGTGTGTATATATATGTTTGTACATGTATGTGTAGTGTGACCTAAGTGTAAGTAGAAGTAGCAAGATGTACCTGAAATCTTGCTTATGTCTGAGACAGAAAAAAAAAAGACACCAGCAATCCTACCTACCATCGTGTAAAACAATTACAGGCTTCTATTTTACACTCACTTGGCAGGACAGTAGTACCTCCCTAGGCGGTTGCTGTCTACCAACCTACTACCTGGGAATTATACAAATCTTATCACTAAAATTTTGATAATAGCACATTACCTTTGTCATCATATCAACAGGGCTTGAAGCTCGCACTGGACTTGGTGTAGCTGTGGTAGTAACAATTGCAGTTTGCACAACACGGGTAGTACGTGCTGGTGGGGTGTGGGGAAGCAGATGGGGTGGTAATGCATCCTGAGGTCGGCATATTAGACACAAGTACCCTTTTTCTGCACATCTGTAAAATAATCATCAATAACGTCATTATAACCTTCTCCTGTACACATTACTAAATTTAAAAAGAAAAACTTTCGTTTTTCTTTTTAGGTCACCCTGTCTCAGTGGGATATGATCAGTTTGTTGGAAAAAAAAAAATTATTACATGTCTTCCTCAACATTCGCAAGGGGTTAGGGGATCAAGAACCTCACGAATGTTGAAAAATCGCAAAAGTTTGGTGCCCCATTATACTGTAGGGAAATATAATACAATACTGCTTCCTTAACCTATTGAACCATGAACAATCATAAAACCCATTAAAGATTAAAATATTGTACTAGTGCCAGCCCTTTGGTAAAGAAGGTGAGAAAAACTATAGAATTCAAGAAAGAACTCGTAGCAGAGTACCAAAGTGGAGGAGGAAGAGAGAGGGGAGAATGTGCCTTCTTCAGTGATTCTGCGATATGTACGATACTAAAGCAACACAAGTCGATTAAGGCTACAGCACCAACCAGAAATAAAGTGTAGCATTAACAGTGTAGCAAGTAAGTTTAGCAATTAATCGATAGAAAAAGGACAGCACGAACCTAACTCCTCCAATGTTGTTGGAGTTATACAGGGCGACTGACAACACTGACATCTCTAGTCTCTACTGCCTTTGATGCCCCCTCCACCACCACCATGTATGGCTTATGTCTCAGTGGTCCTTATACCCCAACAACACAGCAACACTCGTGACATACTTAATGACGTATTTTATTCATTCTAGAGTATGTGTCATTTTTCTATGTTATTAATACTGTTTATTATGTCATATTAGATGAATTGTGATAGATAAATAAGCTGCAGAGTTGATATTAGTGTCATATTGAAGGTCTATCTTGTCCTATCTCCAAACAAACTCTGCTACCTCCACAATTCCTAAGACATATAATGACATATCTTAAATATGATTGGGCGGCTGGGAATTCGCAAATGTTCGAAGCCCGCAAAAGTGGAAAATGCAAATGCTGAGGGAGACCTGTCTAAGACAAGTATCCTTTTTTGGCACATCTGTAAAATAATCATCAATAATGTCACTTTTTTTTCAATGCACCAGCCACATCCCACTGAGGCATGGTGACCTAAAAAGAAGAACAGGTTTTTTCCTTTCACATTTAGTAATTTATACAGTACAGCTTCTCGTAACTTAGCAACATACTCATTTACCAACGCCTCGGACTTACGACTGGCTCTCTGATCAGTATGCATACCTAAATAGTGTACATTAGAGCTGAGTTCCTCTATTCTGTTTATACTGTTTAAATATTTAAAAATATACCAGAAATGTTATAAATGGTGCAAAGGTGACATTAAAACAATATCAAAGATAGTCGACACAAACCCATTACCATTACAGCATGCTCCTTGCTTAGCGATGAATTCATTTACCAATGTGGTGTTAGGAATGGAACTCTGTCATTGAGGAGAGGCTGTACTTAATAATGTCAAAGTATTTAATAATGGTCAAAACTTCTGCACATTGTGAATTCCATCACAGACTGATTGCTACTATTGATTCACATCACCACTGTTGTGATATAAGAATTGTCGATATTTTCCATTTTTAACACATTGACCATCTCCCACTAAAGTAGGGTGACCGAAAAGAAGAAAAATACTTTCATCACCACTCACTCTCACTCTCAGTGGCTGTCACACACAACTACATCCCTGAGTCCAGGGTCCCTCACATAGTTCATTGTCATGAACTCAGCTCACTTACGTAAGCTGTGAATGGTCATTTTTGGCCTAGATATGAGAGAAAGGGTCTGCACATTGAGTGTACACAGCACAAAAAAAATCCTGCCCACATGATGCATGATGGGAAAAGAAAACTCTTCCCATGTGTTTAGTTTAAAATAGCAATTTTGGGGTGTAGTCCAGAATAAATTTTAGGGTTTTATTGGCTGTTTCCTAGGATCATTTGATAGAATGGAAGACATGCTACAGAAATAGAGATGAGTTTGGCTGGTTCAGGACAGAAAGTAGCTGGAAACTGGGCTCCAAATTAGTGGAAATATTCAATTTTTGCAAATTCCTGAGGACATGTAAGGCCCTCCTACACCCCCAGACTATTCTATAGACTTAATAGGTCTGATTCAATTATTGGGAGAAACCACGGCCAATCATTTTTGGTTATATTTCATTATTCGGGGAATAAGAAAATCTTCTATTTTCGTGGGATTATGAATTGAAAATGGAAGGCAGATATAATATAGGAGAAGCCTGGGGATGTGATTAATAAATAGAGGGAATGTTGTTTTAGTGCCAGGAAATGGTAAGTACAATGCCTGCACTTTAACCCGGTCAGGGTTTCCGACGTACTAGTACGACTTACGTGCCAAGGTTATCGACGTACTAATACACTTAACTTCTAGCTCCTTCAAATCAAGAAGGAAAAGGCTGGTAAGCCTAGATGTGAGAGAAAGGGTCTGCATAGTCGGTGTGTGCGGTAGGAAAAAAATCGAGGACCCAGTGGTGCATTGTGGGAATGCCATTTAAGTACTCCTTTATAACCATGCCTCGCGGTAAGAAACTCCTCACTCCTCGGCGAATTGGGACACTTTTGTTCCCCAGTGACAGGTCTAATACAGATGGAAGTGCCTGTGAAGATGAATTTCAAGGTTTTGATGAGGTTGTGACCGAAACTAATGACCATAATACTGGTAATAGAGAGGAAAATCCAGATGGCCCTCAACCTCCTGCATCTGGTGCTGGGCCGCCTTGTTCACAATCAGTTGTACCAGAATGAAAGAGGAAACTCATATTTTCCCATATCCAGGACTCAGATGTGAGCAATGGTGATGATAGTGATAGTGAATATGAACTACAAGCTCTTGAAAACAGTTCCAGTAACGATAGTGAAGTAGAATATTCTCCAGTGAAACGTCAGTATATACGACGGAATATGCGCTTTGGTAGTGTGCCATATGCTATTCCAAGGGGAAGGAGGACATCTTGGAGTACATCCTGTGACTGTACAACAGGAACAGATAGTGAAAATGAAGATTATAGTGTTGCAATTGGGATGGAAAATGTGCATGCATTTGTTGGTGGTAGTGGTGGTGCCAGCCGTGAGGCACCAGCAGTGGGCCATGCTGCTACCCATGCCACTGCCTCAGCAGAACTATAACAAAGGCCACCATCCCCCACCCACCCACCACACCAACCACCACAACCACAACACCTCCATAACCACAACCTCCACAACCATAACCATCTTTCAATATCCAGTACCCACCAGCAGACCGCACCTAGGATTGGCAGGAAGCTGCCAATTTTGTTCCCAATCCTCATCACTTTGATGAAACTCAAAGTGGAATACGGCCATCTTGTACACTTGGGAACAATGCCACTACACTAGAATGTTTCGAGTAATTCTTTGATGAACCCCTGACGGAAATTATTGTCGGGGAAAGCAACAGATACACCTACCATCCGACTTATGACCGAGCTTGGTTCAGACCAACTGGTCGTAAGTCAAAATGGATGTAAGTCGAACCTTACTACTGAATATCAACATCACATTTTTGTAATGACTTGATTTTATTGTTTTATTCTGGCATTTCATTTTTTACATTACTTTTTATGCTGTTAGTACTGTGTTTCGTACTGTAAGGCTTAGGATAAACACTGTGTACATCACAAACAGTTGTTTATTTCCCAGAAATTTGGCATACAAAACACGGTCGTAAGTCGAGTGGTTGTATGTCGAGCAGGTCGTAAGTCGGATGGTAGGTGCATCAAGTACACCATGGCAAGCACAATACTTTCACCAAAATCACGCCTACACCAGTGGAAGGAGACAACTGTGGCTGAGATGTAGCTTTTCTTTGCCACAATAATGCTTATGCCACATGTGTATAAGCACAGTGTGAAATCATACTGGTCAACAGATCGCCTGATTGCAACCCCAGGTTTCACTGATATAATGCGAGTGAATCGATTTGTGCTACTATTACGTATGCTTCACTTCTCAGACAAAACCAGGCCTGACAGAAATGACAGATTATATAAGATTAGGAATGCGTTTGTGTATCTGAAACAGAAATTCATTATATATTTTTATCCCTTCGGGAAGCTTGTTATAGATGAGCCTTTGATTCTGTTCAAAAGAAGACTCATTCAAGCAGTACATACCAAGTAAGAGGAAATGCTTTGGTATAAAGTTATTTGTGCTTTGTGACTGTTACAGTGGTCTTGTATTGGATATTATAGTGTATACTGGAAGTTATACATTGCAAAATACCAGGAAATTATTGGGCACCTCTGGTGATGTGGTTAGAACAATGATGGAACCATATCTTGGTAAGGGGCATATATTATATACTGATAGCTGGTACACAAGCCCCTCACTCAGTGATTTTTTTGCGAGTGAACATGACAGATGTGTGTGGCACAGTGCATGGATATCGTTTGAAGCTGGCACTCATAGAGGTGAGGTGCAGGCGTTTGCTGCCAATGACATCAAGTCATTTCAGTGGCATGACAAATGAGATGTCACACTGCTGTCATCAGTTCACCCTAACGAAATGACAAACACTGGCAGGCAGAATAGAAAGACCAATGAACCCATTCTAAAACCTGCAGCTGTGATGCACTACTCCCTCAATATACACTCAGTGTATATTGAGGGAGCACAGTATCATCAGCAAAAAGTAATTGTGTCAATTCCCATTTTGTATTTGATTCCCCATAATTTAATCCCACCCCTCTCCTGAACACCCTAGCATTTCCTTCTTTTACAACCCCATCTATAGATATATTACACAACCATGGTGACATTACACATCCCTGTCTAAGACCTACTTTTACTGGGAAGTAGGTGATGAAAGATTGGATATCAGATTGGAGAGAGAGAGTATGGAGGAGGTGAATGTATTCAGATATCTGGGAGTGGACGTGTCAGCGGATGGGTCTATGAAGGATGAGGTGAATCATAGAATTGATGAGGGGAAAAGGGTGAGTGGTGCACTTAGGAGTCTGTGGAGACAAAGAACTTTGTCCTTGGAGGCAAAGAGGGGAATGTATGAGAGTATAGTTTTACCAACGCTCTTATATGGGTGTGAAGCATGGGTGATGAATGTTGCAGCGAGGAGAAGGCTGGAGGCAGTGGAGATGTCATGTCTGAGGGCAATGTGTGGTGTGAATATAATGCAGAGAATTCGTAGTTTGGAAGTTAGGAGGAGGTGCGGAATTACCAAAACTGTTGTCCAGAGGGCTGAGGAAGGGTTGTTGAGGTGGTTCGGACATGTAGAGAGAATGGAGCGAAACAGAATGACTTCAAGAGTGTATCAGTCTGTAGTGGAAGGAAGGCGGGGTAGGGGTCGGCCTAGGAAAGGTTGGAGGGAGGGGGTAAAGGAGGTTTTGTGTGCGAGGGGCTTGGACTTCCAGCAGGCGTGCGTGAGCGTGTTTGATAGGAGTGAATGGAGACGAATGGTTTTTAATACTTGACGTGCTGTTGGAGTGTGAGCAAAGTAACATTTATGAAGGGGTTCAGGGAAACCGGCAGGCCGGACTTGAGTCCTGGAGATGGGAAGTACAGTGCCTGCACTCTGAAGGAGGGGTGTTAATGTTGCAGTTTAAAAACTGTAGTGTAAAGCACCCTTCTGGCAAGACAGTGATGGAGTGAATGACGGTGAAAGTTTTTCTTTTTCGGGCCACCCTGCCTTGGTGGGAATCGGCCAGTGTGATAATAAAAAAAAAAAAATAAATTTGCATTTTTTTAATTTTGTGTAAAATTAGCCAAATTACCAACTTCTGTGCACTTCACATGGTAATTGTAATAGCTGAATGGCAAGTTTCATGTGCTCAGTTGATAGAACGGAAGGGATGTTAGTGAAATAGCTAAGAATTTGGGCAAATGAGGCACTGGCACTGACTTAAAATAGGACTCAAGGTGGGAAAATCGCAGATGCATTGTTAAGATCGCCTGTCCACGATTATATTGCATGTACCATAATATATAAACCAAACCTACTTTCTCAAATTGGAAAATTTTTTACAAATGTTTAATGATTTACTATTACTTCTATGACACTTTAAAGCTGAGAGATAATAATGACCTATGCTTCTGGGAGACTGTACATATCATATTGATTTGAATGACAGAAAAACAAAAATATCATGCAGATATAAAATTACTAGGAGGAGAATGTCATTAAAGTTAATGTCTACCTTTCAGCATCATCTTCTGTGTGGATCATGTCATCAGAAGCATGCAACCAGCGCTCACAATTAGAACACTGAATGATGAGTTCACCATCAGAATATGGTTCATCACATACTGGACACTGGGTCATAGACATACATGGACCACACATGCTATAATTTTGCTGCCAAGTGGCATTAGGGCCAGGGTCAGTAGCTCCACAATGAAGACACATTGCACACCTGTGGAAAGGAAATTTTACTACAAACTGACAGAAGTCAAATTACATGTTTGTAACTACAGCAACTAAGTTAAGATCGTGGCATTCCCATCTTCAATATTTAATCAAAAAGGTAATTGATTTAAAATTTCCAGTCTTTAGTACTCTGTTGGTAAATTCCTAAGTTACAGCTACAGTCTTATCTGCTTATCAATTCTTTCATATTCTTTCAGAATCATGGGAATATGTGATGTAAAATAATATTGCTTAAAATATTTCTTTACCAAAAATAAAAAAGTCAAGTAAAATGAATTTCAGGAGGATGTCGTCATTAACAACACTCGAAAAAGTTTAAAGATATTGTAATAGTAATCAATTATAAACATAAGACAACTTTAGTTCTATTTCTGTAACCACAAGAAGTTAATTACAATTAATTTAGAAGCCAAGGATATGAGGAAAGACTTTCATTATTCAATCTCTAAGTCCTAAACAAATGAAAGCAGAATGGCAAAGAGCAGACATAATCACAATATAGCATACAGGATACTTAAGAAATACTGGACACACATATATGCAAATACAGACCGCATGAAAGGGATGGGACCAGACCAGGATACGAGCTAAAAGGCTGATAAAAGAACTTGCTATACAAACATTACAGAAAAGAACAAGGAAATTCGCTTCATGGAAAAACTGACAACTCCACACAAACTTAAATTTAAATATGGTTAACCAAAGAGTGAGGGATGCAACCCATCCAATGATCAATGAAACTGTAGCTCCTACCCTGGAAACACTGCTAACTGAACAAAACTGTGACTAACAGAAAATGAAAACAATGTACCATTATTAACCCTTTGACTGTCACAACCCCAAATCCTGATATGTCTCCTGGTGTTGCACTATACTGTATTTGAAAAAAAAAAAAAAAAACTTATGAAATGATAATCTTCTCCCGATGGTAATGACACCAAAAGTACGAAATTTGATGGAAAACTTATAGAATTATGCTCTTGTGAAGTTAGCGACCTCGGCGATATTTATGAATCAGCGATTTTGCCCACTTCGAGCCATATTTTTGGATAATTCCACTGTTCCAGTTGACCAAACTCATAGCTATTTCTTTAGATCTCCATTTGTTCAATCGACTGAGTACAAGAAACTGCCCATTTACCGATTTCAACTACCCAATAAAGTGGTCAGAATTTGGCAATTTGACCAATTTCATGCAAATTAAAAAAATATGCCAATTTCAAAATAGGGTCCAGAATGAACAATGTAGACATTCCTAAAACAACATTTTCTTTGTTCATCAGTCATGTCTCCAGGCCCCTCTGATATTACTCTTCCTTTCCATTTTGAATTTTTATTCAAACATTTGTTTACTCTTGAACATCGGCAAAAATCAAACATTTCCCCTACTTTAAGCTCAATTTCAAGATCCTTTTCATAGTAAAACCCATCAAAATCACCTCCATTTCTATAATATGTTCTCCATTCTATCAAATGTGACAAAGAAAACGAGAATGTAACCATAAAAACTATACAAAAATATACCTCAAATTTGGCGCTTTAATCCAAAAACACGGTTGGAGTTTTTTTTTTTTCTCATTATGCACTGCCTGCTGCAGGATTTTTTTTATACTGCACACACTGACCACACAGACCCATTCTGGAGGGGTATGTTGTGTATCTTTGTACGTATATGCTTCTAAACTGTTGTATTCTAAGCACCTCTATAAAAACGAGTGATTATGTGTGATTGAGGTGAAAGTGTTGAATGATGATGAAAGTATTTTCTTTTTGGGGATCTTCTTTCTTTTTGGGTCACCCTGCCTCGATGGGAGACGGTCGACTTGCCCAAAAAAAAAAAAAAAAAAAAAAAATTTAATGCATCTCAGAGTGATTATTATTGTATGTTATTATTATTATTTTTTTTAACAAGTTGGCCATCTCCCACCGAGACAGGGTGACCCAAAAAGAAAGAAAATCCCCAAAAAAGAAAATACTTTAATCATCATTCAACACTTTCACCTCACTCACACATAATCACTGTTTTTGCAGAGGTGCTCAGAACACAACAGTTTAGAAGCATATACGTATAAAGATACACAACACACTCCTCCAAACTGCCAATATCCCAAACCCCTCCTTTAAAGTGCGGGCATTATACTTCCCATTTCCAGGATTCAAGTCCGGCTATGTAAAAATAACCAGTTTCCCTGAATCCCTTCACTAAATATTACCCTGCTCACACTCCAACAGATCGTCAGGTCCCAAATAACATTCATCTCCATTCACTCCTAACACGCACATGCATGCTTGCTGGAAGTCCAAGTCCCTTGCCCACAAAACCTCCTTTACCCCCTTCCACCAACCTTTTTGAGGAGGACCACTACACCGCCTTCCTTTCCCTACAAATTTATATGCTCTTCAGGTCATTCTACTTTGATCCCTTCTCTCTAAATAACCAAACCACCTCAACAACCCCTCTTCAGCCCTCTCACTAATACTTTTATTAACTCCACACCTTCTCCTAATTTCCACACAATGAATTCTCTGCATAATATTTACACCACACATTGCCCTTAGACAGGACATCTCCACCACCTCTAACCGCCTCCTCGCTGCAGCATTTACAACCCAAGCTTCACACCCATGTAAGTGTGTTGGTACCTCTATACTTTCATACATTCCCTTCTTTGCCTCCATAGAAAATGTTTTTTGTCTCCACATGTACCTCAATGCACAACTCACCTTTTTTCCTTCATCAATTCTATGGTTAACCTCATCCTTTATACATCCATCTGCTGACATGTCAACCCCCAAATATGCATCTGAAAACATTCACTTCTTCCATACTCCTCCTCCTCCAATTTGATATCCAATTTTTCTTTATCTAACTCATTTGACACCCTTATCACCTTCCTCTTTTCTATGTTCATTTTCAACTTTCTACCTTTACACACTCCCAAACCCATCCACTAACCTTTGCAACTTTTCTTTAGAATCTCCCATAAGCACAGTATCATCAGCAAAAAGTAACTGTGTCAATTCCCATTTTGTATTTGATTCCCTATAATTTAATCCCACCCCTCTCCCGAACACCCTAGCATTTATAAACTTCTTTTACAACCCCATCTACAAAAATATTAAACAACCATGGTGACATTACACATTCTAAGACCTACTTTTACCAGGAAGTAGTCTCCCTCTCTTCTACACACCCTAACCTGAGCCTCACTATCCTCATAAAAACTCTTTACAGCATTTAGTAACTTACCACCTATTTCATATACTTGCAACATCTGCCACATTGCTCCCCTATCCACTATCATATGCCTTTCCTAAATCCATTAATGCAATGAAAACTTCCCTATCTTTATCTAAATACTGTTCCCATATATGTTTTAATGTAAACACTTGATCTACACATCCCCTACCCACTCTGAAACCTCCTCATCTGCAATCCTACATTCTGTCTTGCCTCTAATTCTTTCAATAACTCTACCATACACTTTTCCTGGTATACTCAGTAAACTTATTCCTCTATAATTTTTACAATCTCTTTTGTCCCCCCTCCCTTTATACAAAGGAATTATACATGCTCTCTGCCAATCCCTAGGTACGTTCCCCTCTTTCATACATTTATTAAACAAAAATACCAACCACTCCAACACTATATTCCCCCCTGCTTTTAACATTTCTGTCATGATCCCGTCAGTTCCACCTGCTTTACCCCCTTTCATTCTACGTAACGTCTCACACACCTAACACACTTACATCCTGCTCTTCTTCACTCCTAAAGATGGTATACCTCCTTGGCCAGTGCATGAAATTACTGCCTCCCTTTCCTCATCAACATTTAAAAAGTTCCTCAAAATATTCCCACTATATACCCAACAGCTCCATCTCCCGATCTACTAACTCCCCTACTCCGTTTTTAACTGACAAGTACATTAATTCCCTAGGCTTTCTTAACTTGTTTATCTCACTCCAAAATTTTTTCTTATTTTCATCAAAATTTCTTGACAGTGCCTCTTCCACTATCATCTGCTCTCCTTTTACACTCTCTCACCACTCTCTTCACCTTTCTTTTACTCTCCATATACTGTACTCTTCTTATAATACTTCTGCTTTGTAAAAACCTCTCATAAGCTACCTTTTTCTCTTTTATCACACCCTTTACTTCATCATTCCACCAATCACTCTTCTTTCCTCTTGCACCCACCCTCCTATAACCACGAGCTTCTGCCCCACATTCTAATACTGCATTTTTAAAACTATTCCAACCCTCTTCAACCCCCCCTCCCCCCCCACTACTCATACTTACACCAGCCCAACTTTCTGTCAATAGTTGCTTATATCTCACCCGAACTTCTTCCTCCCTTAGTTTATACACTTTCACCTCTCTCTTACTTGTTGTTGCCATTTTCCTTTTGTCCCATCTACCTCTTACTCTAACTGTAGCTACAATTAAATAATGATCTGATATATCAGTTGCCCCTCTATAAACATGTACATCCTGAAGCCTACCCATTAACCTTTTATCCACCAATATATAATCTAACAAACTACAGTACTTTCATTACGTGCTTTATCATACCTTGTATATTTATTAATCCTCTTTTTCATAAAGTATGTATTACTTATTACCAAACCTCTTTCTACACAGCTCAATTAAAGGCTCCCCATTTTCATTTACCCCTGGCACCCCAAATTTGCCTACTACTCCCTCCACAACATTTTTACCCACTTCAGCATTGAAATCCCCAACCACAAGTACTCTCACACTTGGATAAAAAACTACCCACACACTCAATCAACAATTCCCAAAACCTCTCTATCTCCTCTACACTTCTCTCTTCTCCAGGTGCATATACACTTACTATAACCCACTTTTCACATCCAACATTCAATTAATACATTTATACTCCCTCTATTCCTGCCATAGGTTATCCTTCAACATTGTTACTCCTTCTTTAGCTCTATTTGAAACCCCTGACCTAATCCCATTTA